CTATCACTTGACATGGTTTGTGTTTTGATGATATTGCAGATCTTAGCATAGGGAGCCTTCACGATCTGGGCGAGTCAAAAAATTATACTGTCAAATTTATTTTAAGAAATTTTTTTATAAGTAATAAAAATTTCCAAATATTGTATTTTAGTTAGTTACACACCTTAAAAGTAATTAATGTCTACGTAAATTTAATCATGTCTATAAACACAATTATTATACTTTTCGTACACATATGTATACCTTTCTATAAATTGTTTCTGTCATAAACAGGTATCTATATTTAATGCTTACACAAAAATACTCTCACAATCGGTTAGTAAACAGTGTGACACAAATTCGATCCTGGGTACAAAACAGGAATAGTGTACACAGTGTCCCACTTTTACAAATTAATTTTTATAATTTTTTAAAGAAAGATGTTTAACAGAAGTTCATACTAGTTAACTGTTTTCCAAGTTTCAATATTTAAAAGATTGATTTTTAAGAAAATGTTGTATATGCCATAATTACAGTACAAATTAATTAGTTATAATGATTTGGAGGAACTAATAAATGACAAAATTTTATTTATTTTCTCATTTACTATTTATAAATTAGTTGAAAATTTGATGAGAACTAAACTAATTTTGTAATGATATAATAGAAACGATACCTTACCTCCCAACTTTCTTTTGTAAATTCCGGTACATCTCCTTGACTCCCGTGTCTGCTTGTCGAAGGAGTAGAGTCCGGGCTCCAAAGTTCAGTCTCGTTTTCGATCAGCATAAATCCTCGACTTTTAATCTGTAATTAAAATCCAAATTTTTACATCACTTAACTGACTTACATTAAAACGTAATATTACTTCTTCTTCATCAATTTCTCCGTACAGTTGAGGAAACCAGGCCTGAATAAAATTATAGAGATCATCAACTCTGTTACGGGGAACACTGAACCAATACTCTGGTCTCATCTTCTTTTTACCATACGACATGAGCGGAGTAGATTTGGGTATTGGTTTGTCCAATGGTTTTCCCATTCTAAGCCTCAAGTATAATGGAGGATCCTCGCAAGATCGTGCAGGCGTTGGAATTAATTCTAAAATGTTATTATAGTAGCATACACGATACACAGAGGGTAGTTCATTTTATCTATAAACGAAAAATGTATAGTACTAAATAAATAAAGTTATTTTTATTTTGTTCAAAAACTTACTATCAAAGGAAACAAACAATTCTGGCATGTCTTCAACCGACACCATTGATCTATAATCTAACTTAGGCTGAAGCGNTATGTATTTTAAATTTTCTAGATTAAATATCTTCTTTTAGTATGCAGGATAAAATAGCGTTAACGATAGCTGAATTAGTAAGCGAACAAGTTAAACAAGGACTAAAAAATCACGTAGCAATTCTCGAAGACAGTGTCCTTAATGCAGTACGTTCAAGAGCTGTGACTCCTTCTCCACATGTAATTGATACTCAGGTACAATAATAAAATTTCATTTCGACTTAATAAAAACTTATTATAAAACTAATTTGTTCAGTTTCAGCTGGTTCAGATACAGCAGGCATTAGCAAAAGGACAAATAGACGTGGCATTTCAACAGGCCCTGTCTGCTTCAGACTTGTCTCTAGTTGTCTATGTGTGTGAAAAAGTCAATCCTCAAGAAGTGTTTGGACTGGACAAGTGCATTTTACCGCAACATGTAACTCTGTCGTTAATACAGCAATTAAGCGCCGATTTAACAAGAAACACAGAATTAAAATACATGTGAGTATTTTTT